CTAATAATTCTTAAAACAGCAGAAAAAACAAGTAAGAAAACTCTAGTCGAGAGTGATCGACTAGATACTACCCTGAACCCAACAAATAAAAATGCCCATTTAGTATGGCTGAAATTTCAATTTCGATGTATTTAAAAATATAAATTAAATASMAAACTCATTTATGAAAATATAAAAATATTTTGAAACAATTAAAAACAAGTAAGAAAGCTCCAGTCGAGACTGCTCGACTAGGAGATACCCTGAACCCTCCAAGCTGATATTCTAATCATTCTGCACTTCTTTTATGCACACATACATACACATGCATCCACACGCACGCATAAGCCTGCGCTCTGCTAACTGCGCAGTAAGCAGCGACTGCGCTTGGGCTGCGCTGCAGTGTGGGCAATATTATGAGAATTTATTTGTTAAATAATTTCTTTTGTAGACATACGATCTTAATGAAACTTTTANACGGACAGACGGACAGACGGACAGACGGACGGACGGACAGACGGACAGACGGACAGACGGACAGACAGACAGACGGACAGGGCCAAATCGACTCAGCTCGTCGCCCTGATCAAGAATATATATACTTTGTGGGGTCTGCCACGCCTCCTTCTGCCTGTTACATACATTTCAACAAAACCATTATACCCTGATTTCCCATTTTCAATGGGTTCAGGGTATAAAAATTATTTTAAAAAATTATAAATTATAGATCACTAGAAAAGGTTTTTTTTTCTCTAATCCTAGTAAAATAAGAAAGCTCTGTAATCTATGGGGTCAACATTACCCATATATCAGTAACTAAGCCCTAATCTACATAAATATCAAGTATTACTATAAATTGTCGCAGTGTAGACACTGCGATAAGGAAAACGGCGTCCGATTTCTAACAGCTGCATATATATATATATATACACATATGATATGTTTAATAATATTCTTTGATGAAATTTGAATGCTAATCAACGATATGCTCTGCCCAAAATGTGAAGCTTGCGCTCCATTTGGCAGTTTAATTGCATATAGAAATCAAGAAATATATTAAATATATATAGTCATGTCAATGTCAGACACATAGAGTCAGGCAGGGGGCCCCTCAATTATTGGATTTGTGTAACATTTGAGCAATGGCTATGCGTCAGCTGGCCAACAACTGAATCAAAGCTTTTTGCAGTAATTTGAAAGGGTTTTCAATTTTATTCCATTTCGGTTATGGTCGGCGGCTGTTCTATGTGTACATTTTACAGATATTTCATAAGCCATTAAAACTAATGCTTAAAACTCTCTGTGGTCAGCTGAAAGCAGTTTGATGACGGCGCCGTTGTGGCTCAGTGCGTTTTCGTTTTAGCATTATAATACCCTGTATTTGCTAAACGCGATCAAAGGGGCATTCTTGTATGTGACGAGAGTTGTCACTGAGAGAGTAAACATTCAAATTACTGACTCTCCCAGTGTTCTTTCCAAGCCCTGTTTATTAACTCCTATTGCTATGAGTAATTGTAAAAGCAAAACTATGAATACATAGAACTTGGATATAAAAGCATTTGGATCATAATCCCTTTCGGCTTTAAATATATATAAATAATATATTTATAAATAGTTCTATAATGAAATTTCAAGTGAGCTGCATATCAGCTAGGTATCTGCTAGTCGAGTCACAATCCAGTTTGATTCTTGATTTGCTATGCGCAGAGACTTCAGCAATTCTCGTGTGTAGTTAAGAGACTACAAATCACATGGATGACATCTGGGCGTTAAGTCGGCAAATGAGAACAGCCCATAAAGACATATCTATATATAATATACACATTCTGTTTTCGTACTATAGCCCCGAGATATATAGCCATGAATGTATCAAGTGTGTGGCGCAGATTCATGTCCGTAGAAAGTTTTGATTCCCAGCTATTTTTAATCGGCTTTTAGGACCCGGTAACTTTCATCCGCTTAACAACAATAAATTTCGACTAGTCTGATGCTCGCATAAATTTCATATATTTTTGTTGCAAAAAATAATCAAATTATTATATTTGAACAAACAAAAACTGTTTTACTATAATTTGGCAAGTCTTATACAATGGGATGCGCWGAGCTGTTCCATGCCATTTAGGACCGCATGCCCAACACCTGCCAGCCTTAAAAATCAGCACTTTCGAGCGCGTTTGACCTACCGAACTCTGACCGCAAAAATATAAATAAATATTAAAAAAGCAAAAACAAAACATCCAAACATTTCCACAGCGCCAGATTTTAATGAAACTTTGATGAACTTTAGTGTGTCTGGCCTTCCCAAGCCGGGGACTCACCGCAGAAATTACCATAATAACGGCCAAAGAGTAAACCGAAAAGTCTTGCGACTTGCGAAAGTCTAAATGTATGTATATATAAGTATATAAACATATATACCTAAAAATTCAAATTTGAATTCGTTTTGCCTGGCTGCCACTACCAGCAGCATTTAGAAAATTAATCATAATTTGGCCAAAGCGTGGCTAATAATGAGACCCCGAAATAAAAAAAGACCCAAGTACTAACCCTATCCATAGATAATTCCGAGACGTTTAAAATATCTCTCGAGAGGCAATGCCATTAAAAAGCACTTAATGTCATCCGAATCGGGAAAAAGAGAAAAATGGTGATGCACTTACAGAAATGTATATTGCGTGTTCAAGTCGTAAAAAAAACAAAAGTTTCAGGCTGACGGATCTAGACGTAAAGCCTATGGCGAGGCAGACAAACATCAGTTAAATGCTAGTAAATACAGGCCCAGCCAGTGATGCACAGACCCATACTCAGATACTCATAGACACAAATATATATATACAGAGCCATTTTCTTGCCAAACACGCAGCGCACTCTATTCCCTAACAGCTAGAGGATTACAGGGAGGGGCTGCTGCAGAGCTTGTCTACGTAACGTGCTGTCAAGCATTTTGCAAATAATATTGCGTATATGGAAATTATTGACCAGACGCTGGCCCAAGACTCGCTTTTTGTTTTGCATGCAAATAAAAGCGATGAAAAATGCAAAATAAACTGAAAAAAAGAAAAGTAAAACAAGGGAAAAATAATAAAATGAAAATATAAAACTGTCGAGTTTCCAGTGAGAAATCTAAATCAAATAATGTGCCCAAATCAAATGCAGGCAATCGATTACGAAATCCTATGAAAAAGCCAATTTTCGTTTATTTATGCTTTGATTTGAAAAATGTGTAAACGCCTGTGAAATGGAAAATTGCAGAGCGTGATTATGCAATGGAAAAGCTTTTATGAAAAGCAATCACTTGAAAAGACAATGTAATGAAAATTGTTGAGAAAATATCAAGATTTTCCTAAAGTTGAAGCAATACTTTTAGCGGGAAAGTTTTTAGAGTATATATTTATCATAATAATTTGGATATATTATTATCACACCTCCAACTATTTAGACTCTTAATACATAAACTAAGCTAAAAACTTAAGTATTACTTGGAATCGGTTGCTTTTAGAAAGGTAAATACACGTGTTGCACAAAGTCATATATATTTTTATATATACCTATGTATATTGCTGGGTTGCGAGGTTATTTGTAGGGATTTCGCAATGGCCACCACACCGATGCGTCGCTTTAGTCATTTTCATTTTTAAACAATTAGTGTCAATCGCTTGGCAAACTCAAAATATGCAAATACGGCCTGACTATGGGCTATACTTATATTTATATAGTCGCCGGATAGGGGCTGCACGCCTCTTTGCCTCCGCCCCATCTCTCACTGACAGCTCAAAGTTGTCGTTGATTATATTGAAAAGACCAATGGAATGTTCCCTAGCTCAAGCAAATGGCAGTGATCAACAGGCACAACATTCATATCAATTGAATACCCTGTAGACCCATAGCATAGAGTAGCCTTTGCTTGCACTTGAAATCGAGCTAGAACTTTCTTTTTTCAGTAGACTCTAAATACTGCAATTTATATGGAAAATACGTAGCTACTCAATTTACCCTAATCAAATATAAAATTCAATTGCTTTCTTGATATACAAGTGAACTCATTATAATGCAAATTAATAATTGTAACTCAGATTAATATTGAGCTCTAAACGTTTCCATTAGAATATAGATTTATTGACTTTTAAATTCAGACAGTCTCAGTATTATAAATGTAAATTATTCATTACGGCTGATAAGACTCAAGACTAGTAAATAAGCGAGAGAGCATATCTTGATATTTATGTATCTACTTAAAATAAATTAGAGTTTATGAAAAACTAAAACTAACTTCAAATTGAGCTACGGCAACTAACGCCTTCGGCTTGATATTTTGACATACTTAAGACTCTTTAGTGAAGACCAATTGTAGATTATGTCATTCGAGTATATCTCGATGTACAACATATATCTCCAAGTATAGCTTAGAGTTGTTAAAATACCAGCTCTATATATTTGCTCTGCAGGGTATATTCAAGTCTATATTCACACAGTTGAGCTCACTAAGTACTTGTTGCTTTTAAACGAATCAAAGTCGAGTTGACKCTGTCTTTGTTGTTGTTGTTGTTGTTGTAACATAATCAACGCGCACAGTTGAAAGTGCAGCTTATACAACAAAAACGTATTATAGCGTGTATGTGTGTGCATGTGTTCATAAATATACGCGTGTGTGTGTGTGCGGGTATTCATTAATTAAGCGACGACAGCGCACACGCTTCGCAAAATGGCGTCGCTCAGTAGGCGGCGCTTAGAGCTGAGCTTCAACAACGCTCGCTGCTGGAGCGAGCAGAGCTGAAGGGCTTAGACAATGGCGTCAACAGGTGTGTTGACTCGTGAACTCACCTGTCCCGTTGCCACTTCGAGCAGCACATAGACCATCAGTATAATTTCCTTTTCATCCGAGCCAAGGCCGGGTCCGTTTTGGCCACATGTGGCTATGTAGAGGGAGACAACGTGTTCGGGCACCTGCATGTTGTTGTTATTGTTGTTTCTACTGAAGCAATTGTTGTTGTTGTCGTTGCTTTTTATGTTGTTGATGTCGCTGTTGTTGAGATTATCTCTGTCTTTGATCTCTCGCAATTAAGGGCTATGTGTGAGGTGGCTCGCTCCGAGAGTGAACTTGAGTTGGATTTTCGCTACTTGCTATCAATTGCAATTGCTGTCGCTGCGTGGCTGATGGCACTGCATTCCCTGCTCAGATACCCATTGGTTATGGCTGCGAAAGAAAAAAAAAAAAAATGAAATAAAAAAGTAAAAACAATGAAGTGGAAAAGGAAATAAATATTATGGATGAGCGAGGTGCGAATGGGGTTTAGAGGTGAGTGGCTGCTTATACAATATTTTGAACCCTTGACAGCTGGCGAAACGAAAAGCTAATTACGTATGCAATTCAAAGAAAATGCCAACCAAGGCGAATTGGCAGCAAATGCAATCCAAATGGTTGCCAATTGGAAATTTGCAAATTTGCAGCGACGTTGCCAATTTGCAGGGCAAGTTTCTAATTAGACAGTGCGACGTTGCCAAACTTTAAGCTAATAAAAACACTTCAAGTGAAGTGCCATATCGGATGCGAATGACATTTGCGTAAGCCTAGCACTGTTGCCCGTTTTCGGCTAAGCTGAGGCGCCATTTATCAGAGCGACGTTTCCAAATCTAAGATCCACCTCAGATATGCTTAATTGCAACGGTGAGCCTAAACCATGTTGCCAATTTTCAGTTCATACAAAATAAAGTGTTTAAGGAAACACTTAAATTTGCTAAGCATTGTTGCCGGTTTTCACACTCTATTATCTAGAGGCTCTCTAGATGCTTACGAAGATATTTACATAAGCCAAGCACTGTGCGCAACGTTGCCAATTTTCAGTGAGGCATCAAACGACTGAAACGACGTCTGACACACGAAGTCAGTAAAAACTGTCGCAAAGAGCATGAGCAAAGAGGTCAAATTGAAATTATTAACCTGCGCAACGATTTGAAATTTAATTTTGTGCTCCATTCGGTTGCCAAGCAGCCAGTCCGGCTAAAGCTTGGAGCTCCGACAAGTGGTTTGGACAAAGTCGAGCAAAAGGCGAATGTGAAAACGCTGGCGGCCACCAAAAAAAAAACAAAAAAAAAAAACACACACACAACAGCAAAAATTAAAGTGCAATTTTATGGGCATTTTTAATGTGAAAAGTTTTACTTTTAATGAAAAACAGCAAACACACAGCAGCATCAAGCAGAGCTCGACTGATTGACTGACTGACTGACTGACTGAAAGGCTGTTGATGTTCAGGCATTCAAAGCACACGCTTAACCAAAGGTCGTGGGTTAATCGAGGTGCACTGGCGCACTCAAAGACTCAGAGCACAAGCTTTTGCAATCGCGTTTATGTTAATTTTTGTTGTAATTAAAATGAGAAAGAAAAAAAAGGGGCGAAAAAGGCATGAAAGAGCACTCTAATTAGAAAAGCCCAGCCAGCAGATACCCTGACTCTTATTCTCTGGCTAACTTAAATATTGTTTATGAGCCAAAGACTACTTCTTTCCGAGCATTCTTAGATTTATTAATAATCCAAATTACAAATATAAAATCATATATTAATACAATCACATTGTAACATTCAAACAGGACGACTCGAGTTTTAGCCACGCCAACTTCTGCCTCCTGTTGAGCATTTTATATACAAAACTATCCTACCCATAATACCAAGTACCTGCAGGGTATTCACAACAACGCCCAAGCTTTTGTAATTAAGACAAGCAAAACACAGTTCGCGACAGTTTCTTAACTCTGAACTGTTTTTCTTATACAATTTTCTTCATTTTTTAATATTTTTCGTTTTATTTTATGCATGTTTCTGCGTCTTTGCATTTAATAACTTTTTTATACCCTGAACCCATTGAAAATGGGAAATCAGGGTATAATGGTTTTGTGAAAAGTATGTAACAGGCRGAAGGAATCATYRCRGACCYCATAMAGWATATATATTCTTGATCAGCACGACGAGCTGAGTCGATATAGCCCTGTCCGTCTGTCCGTCCGTCCGTCCGTCCGTCCGTCCGTCCGTCCGTCCGTCCGTCCGTCCGTCCGTCCGTCCGTCCGTCCGTCCGTCCGTCCNCCGATAACTTTTTTATCGAGAATAATCGAAAAATCGACATTGTTTTTTCAGCTTAATTTGAACATTTTTAGACCTGGAGACTTCAAATTTGCGTTGTATATAAAGTTAGTAGATACAAAGATTTTGTAATTTACAGATTTTGGATACCACGCCCCCTTCGCCCCAAATTTGTAAAAAACGCATTTCAAGTACTAGAGACTTGTGCTTTGGAATGGACACACATTTTAGCTACATGATTACGCTCTAAAAGTTTTATTAGGATCGTATGTCTACAAAAGAAATTATTCAACAAATAAATTCTCACACTGCAGTGCAGCCCAAGCGCAGCCGCTGCTAGCTGCGCAGTTTGCAGAGCGCGTGCTTATACGTGCATGTGTATGTATGTGTGCATAATAGAAGTCCAGAATGATTAGAATWTCAGYYTGGAGGGTTCAGGGTATCTCCTAGTCGAGCAGTCTCGACTGGAGCCTTCTTACTTGTTCATATTTAAACTATATAATAAAAACTTAAACACGAGCAAAACCTTTTGGTTTTTTTTTTTTTTTTTTTTTTTTTTTTGCTGCAAGTTTCCGCTTCGTGTGCTGGGGAAATGGTCAATGTGTTTTTTTTTCCATTTTTTTTAATGAGTATTTTGTGTTCGTGCTCTTCGAAGACGATTGCAATTTATGCTGGGCTTTCGCACTGCCTCTCTCTTTCTCTCCAATTATATATACTTATATCCATCGGTATCTGTTTCGTTTTTTCCGTTATGTAGCCGAGTACGTAGAGTGTGTGAATTTTACCATTCCCAGGCAAGAAAATTCTTGATTCTACTGCATTCCAAATTGTTGAATAATAAATAAAAGTTTTTTTAAAGACACTCTTCTGATCTATAGTCTATGGGAATACGGAAATAGCTTTCTAATGTTCTAATTTATTTATTGATTGTAGAGGTTTCGCTAATATAATCATTAGCTGTAAATGTTTAAATTCTTTCGCCTGTCTGTTTAGGCTAACAGCTGAGGCACTCCATAACCAGTTATGATAAGTATAAGTTAAGTTTTTTGTTAAGTTTTTTGCCTTACGCATACTACGATTCTGTTTATATATCATTCAAAAACATATATGAAATAATTGTCGTACAACTCTTTGATATTCCTTTCAATAATCGTCTATTATCTCTAAACATAATTTTCTCTTTTGATTTAAACTCCGATCAGCAAGAAAAAGAGACTGATCCACTATATAAAACAAAAATCCGCTATAAAAAAATCAAATATTCTTGTTTCTTCTCTATTCTTAATTGTTATTCTACTTTCTTATTCTCATTCGCTTTTTCGGAGAAAAAAATGTAAGATTTTCCTGTTAACATTTCCTAATTAACATTCCATATTTAACATTTTTAAATTGAAAATTACTACAATTAATGTTTTTATGAGATCATTCCTGTATTGCGAAAGTTTCTATCGACCTCCGCCAACTTCAACATTTACGTTAATAGCTAGTATCAGTACTGCTCGAGCACCTTTCGGGCTCGTAACAGTTGCGTGCCATTTCCCACTCAATAAATAACCGATTGAACAGACTTTAAGCTCACTTTTATCTAAAGCAAATTTGTTTAAGCGGCACTCGAAACATTTGCAACAGTTTGTTCTATTGTTTTTCAGCTTCAATTTATGACTCCATAAATTGCTTGTTTATCGAAGGAATTGTAGTAAATATTTATGAGCCACATTAGAGTTGATAACTTGATTTGATTTTGATGTAAAAATAATTGACAGCGTTTTAACAACAAACATTACGCCAATGAATTTAATTAGGTTTATGTATCGTAACACTTCATAAACCTGTTGTTTTTCGTTGCTGTGGATGAATTTCCCTTTCGTTTCACACTTGAAGACCCACTGATGCCTGACCGAGAGCCAAGGCCTAGGTCCAGTTGCGAAGTTTTCACTGGAATGTGTGGAACTGCGTTTTTTTTTTTTTTTCGAGGTGACGATGCGTCGCTCCGTGACAAACAAAAAACGAAAAACCAACCAAAAAAAAACTAGACAATAAATCTTATTTTCCGTCGAGTAGCTCATTAATGGATAACGGGTTGCTGCATGAGATGGGGACTAATTAGAACGGGAAGAAAGCAACAAACACAGATACAACGACAGCGAAATCTTCATTAAAGAGAAACAACAGAATTGAACAGCAATGTTACGGTTATTTCGAGAAGACAATGAATACTAAATTATATCGTTGGTATAAATTAGTGATAAATAACTGCAGCGACAATAGCAAAAGCCAGGCAATGCAATTAATAAGTTGGTAAACCAGTCAGACCGATACCCAGTATGAAATATGAATTAACTACAGATATGTGGTATATTCTAGTTGGGCAAGTGTTTGGCAACAACTTATAGAATGAAAGCAAAATAATAAAATATATTACTACAGTATATAGATAAAATGTACATAAATTTCTAACCATTAGAATTGAAAAAGTGAAAAATAATATATATTTTCGATTATTTTTCATACTTCTGATATCTATGTATTTTAATCATTAATCTATTAATCCAAATTGTTTTCTAACAATACGAAAAACATTAAAAAGCTTTCACCCTCCAAGCCTCTTCTGAATATTATCAACAATCATCTTAAAATATGAAATGTTTTTTGTAAAAAATATAAGGCTTTTTATATTTTTAGTGGATTTATAGGGTATTTGCATTTGTTCGTGGCAAGATTACAATTTTGTTGCACTCATTTTGATTTATTAATGATATGAATTACGCAAGAGTTCGCATTGTTCCAGTCAAAATTACTGGAGGAGGCAATGGAATTTGATTTGGAATTGCAATTGGCGTGTGCCGTTATCTCTTAGTGTTTTTTGCCAACAGGAAACTTATGATTGCGTACAAAATTGCATGCGAGCGAAATGCCAATTGCCAAAGTTATTCTGCACCGACCCTATCTATCTATCTCGCTCTCTCTATCTCTTTCGCTCTCTCTCTCTCTTTCTCTCTCTTTCTCTCTGCATTACGCTCGCAGCAGCAACAAGTGCAACAGCAATTGTTGCGGTTGCCGTTGTTGTGATTCTGTCTACGTGTGTGTGTGTTTGTATGTTTGTGTGCATGCGCGCATGTCAAAGAGTTAAAACACAAAAAATGCACAAGAGCTCAAAGCAGAAGCAGAAGCAGAAGCAAAGCCAACAGCAACAACAATTCTCTCAAAGCGCAGCAGCAGTTTACTTTGGAAGCTTTGTAACGTTTGAGCAGCAGCAACGCTGCGCTCTTTTAATATTTCTTGTCTGTGTAACTGTAAATATGTTTTCACTTTGTTATGTTTGCGCATCTGCTTTTAACGTATACCGTGTCTTGAGCTGCTCTTCTGCTGCTGCTTCTTTTACWTTTTGTTGCTGTTGTTGTTGTTGTTGCTCATTCGCTCGTTCATTCACACTGGCCACACACATGCATAGATGTATACATGTATGTATGTCGATAGGCATACGTATGTATGTATGTGTGTCACAAATTTGTCAAATAGTTTACAACTTACAGCAGCCAATGGGAAATGCCAGCGTTTAAAGCTTTTGTGCACAGTTATTCGTGGGCTTGAGCAACAGGTTGATCCTTTTACTTGAATTTTTTGTTGTTTTTTTTTTTAACTTTATTTATTTGGTTTTCTTCTTCTTTTCTTGTTTTACATTGCACTTGTTGTTTTCATTGTTGTTGTATGCTTTTCACCACTCTTTTTTGATTTTTTTATTATTATTGCACTTTCTTTTTCACACACATGCAGACAAACAAATTTGTACGTAAGCACACATGCACATATGTATTGGTATGTATTTGTAGGTACGCATGCATGTACGCATGTACGTATGCATGTAAGCCCTTCTTCTGTGTACTTCGCCTGCTTCTTTTGCTAGTCACACTGACTAGCAGTTAGTGTTGCTTGTGTGTTTTTGTATTTGTGTGTGTGTGCGTTGTCCGTTTTGCCTTTCCACACACGACGACTCCGCCGATCTTAATACCAACACGTACAAAACGGGCAGAGACGCTGACGCCAGCGTCAACGTCAACGTCGACGTCTGCGCAATACATGCAAACAAAAAACAAGTCACTTTTTCGCCTTCTTTGCTCTGGCTGCTTCTTCTACCACTTTGTGTGTCTTTATATATTTTTTAACTGTTGATTTTGTTTTCTTTCTAGTTTTGGACTAAAAGCTTTACGAGTGTGAGTGAGTGCTCGATTGTGTGTGAGTGTATTAAGTTGTCTTTTCTCTTGGTGCTTTTGCGACGGCCGCGTCCGTCTGTCTCCAGGTTAAAACAGCGACTGATCAACTTCGTGGGCCACAAGCAGCCACGAAGGTAAGTGAGCTGCGCTTGCTGCAGGTGTGCATGTATACGTGTGTGTAAACCTTTGTGGAGAGCAGTAATAAACAGTGAGCGAGCAAAAGACATACACAGTGAGAGAGAGAAAAGAGAGAGAGCGTCTCGATGGCATAGCTCAGGTGTATGGGCCAGCTAGCTGGTAGCTGATGCCAAACAAGATTCCAACACGCAAACGCACAACAACAATAAAACTCATTTATATAGACAAGCTGACTAGATTTGCCAATGAGCTGTCCCCGTGGTGGTTGGCAACGCGGCATCAGCCTTGCGGTATGCAAACTTAAAAGCAATAACAAAGCTGCCATTGAATCAATGAATGAATGCAGATCAAAAGAAAAAACAACTCAAATTCGAGCAGCAACAACAATTACGTGATACACACATGTGTCACTACGCAGTGGCGTAGTTAGAAACAGCTAAAGCAGGGTCGACCGTCCCTCTCTTATGCTTATTGCAGTTTCCCACGCTGCGCACACARCGTCAAACACTCACACAAACGCAATCAAGTAAAGACAGTTACGTTCGCTCAGCCATGACATCTCTCCCTCTCTCTCTTTGCTTACGCTCTCACACTGTTGCGCTCTGGAAGTTACCTGCGAGAAGCCACTCGCGCAGCCCCCGCGCGTACACACCTGTGCAGCAGTGTAGCGTGTGTGTGTGTGTGTGGGTATGTGTTGCTGTTGCTGCTGGTTCTTCTTCTTCTTTAGCTTGCTCAATTACCAACAGAACTGCCCACGTACCTGTTTGTGTTTTTCAAGCGGTAAAATTCCAATTCCAGTCCAGCCATTTTTCGTAATATTTGCATTTGCGTGCGTTTGCTTATTTTCACAATTTAACATTTGTTAATTACATATTGAAAACAACTATCGAAAGTATTTGCTTATCGAATATTAACGTTTTTGGATATCTCTTTTTTCGTATCTCTCTCTTTCCTTCTAACAGCAACAAGCGACGGCTACAAACTGACAAAAGCGCGGAACGTAAACGCGTTTTGGTCGAAAGGCAATGGACGAGAGAGTCAAAAGGTAGAAATAGAGAGAGGAAGAGATCGAGAGAGCGCATAATAAGTGTGATTTCTTTTGAGTGGGCTGCCTACCTGCGCGAATGCATGTCATGCAATGCTAAAACGAGTTGCTGCTGCATGACATAAATGTGAACGATCAATGGCTGGAATACCGTGATCGCATTAGCGCGTATCGCGTGAATATCGTAACTCAACGTCATATTGCGCGAGCAAACACTTAAATTATAATAGATAATAATAATAAAAATAGGAAAAGAGAAAGAATATAATTGTTGTATATATA